GGCAATCCACTCACCTCAGCCTCCCAAAGGCGCGGGATTACAGGATGAGCCACCAAGCCCGGCTGGCACTATATATTAAATATATATAAGAATATTAATATAATGAATACATATATACCTAAATTATATATTTGTTCCAACAGAAATGGAAATTTTCTGTGTCATACCCATTAAGTGCTGACTTAATGTCTTGGTTCCTGTAATCCCAGCACTTTGGGAGGCAGAGGTGAGAAGATTGCCTGAGCCCAGGGGTTCGAGACCAGCCTGGGCAATTTGGCAAGACCTCATCTCTACAATAAATAAATAAAACTAGCTGGATGTGGTGGTGTGTGCCTGTAGTTCCAACAACTAGAAAGACTGATGCAGAAGAATCATCTGAACCCAGCAGGTTGAAGTTGCAGTGCCCGTGAGTATGCCATTGCACTCCAGCTTGGGCAACAGAGTGAGACCCCAACTCAAAAAAAAAAAAAAAAGATTGACAGTTTATTTTTTGACAATTCATACAAGTTATGTAAAGGTGTCAAGTGGTTTAAAGTTGCTTCAGCAGTAACTTGGTTTCAGTTTTGCAAAGTAGTTCTGCCACTTATTTGGTTGCTATGTTAGTATATTTAAAACTGACAGTCAGCTGTCAAGGAGTAAATAAATATTTGCTTGGCACACCATCTTTAAAAATAATTGGAGATCTAAACATAAGGTAGAGATTAAGATATTAGAAGAAAACAGACTAATTGTAAAACTACAGGGTTAAGCAAGAAACAACTCAAGTCATACAAAAATAAAATGAATTTGATTATGTATAAATTTAAAATTTCTTGGCTGGGCACAGTGACTCACACCTGTAATCTCAGCACCTTGGGAGGCTTAGGTGAGAGAATTGCTTGAGCCCAGGAGTTTGAAACCAGCCTGCAACTTGGCAAGACCTTGTCTCTACAATAAATTTTTTAAAATTAGCTGGACATGGTGGTGCATGCCTGTAGTTCCAGCAACTTGGGAGGCTGAGGTGGAAGGATAGCCTGGGCCCAGCAGGTTGAGACTGTTTGAGCTATGAGCATGCCACTGTACTCCAGCCTGAGCGACAGAGGGAGACTGACTCAACAAAATTAAGTACATATATACATACATACATAAGACAAAGGGAGACTCCGACTCAAAATTACATACATACATACATACATATATACATACGTAGAATTTCTGCAGGACATATGATACCATGAAGACAAAAGACAAACTGAGAGAAAATAATTGCAATATACAATACTAAGGATTAGTATCTCTAGTAAGTGAAAGGCTCACAAAATTAATGAAAGATAGATGACCCATTAGAAAAACGGGATGCGTCCTAACAGTTTAGAGAAGAACACTCATTGACAGGAAATTATGCCCTGCTTCCCTGGTCACTGAGGAAAGGAATGTCAAACCTCTGGCCTTTTTTTCACCCAGCATATTAACAATTGGAAATACTGGTGAAGGTGCAGGGAAATAGACATTCTCATAGAATGTGTTGGGAATGGAAGTTATTACAACTTTGGGGGAAACTTTTGACTGCTATCAGATTTAAACTACTCATACCCTTTAACTAGCAGTTTAGCAGATTGACTTAGGTTACATATGTCAAGTTGTTTACTGTGACATTGTCACGTGAAGAACTGGAAAAAGCTTGAATGTCCCTTAGTAAGGGAACTGGACAAATGGGTGGAGTTGCTTCCCATATAGAGTAATAGTGTTAGAGAATGAATTAGACTCAGGTGTGTTGACTTGGAGTATGGAACAGTAGGTTATGTGGACAGTGATAAATGTGGATTATTGTATAGAGTATGATTATGTCTTCTGAAAATTAAAACATATATGTGTGCATGCACGTGGGCATTCAGAAAAGTGGAAAGTCTATGCTAAAACTTACTGTGATTGGAGTATGGTGCCCCTTTCCTCCTTTTCTGATAATCCCTCTGTGGTATTTAGAAAGTATCTATATTTCTTTTGTAGTTGAAAATAAAATTCAAGTATAAAAAAATAGCTGGGCATGGCTGCTCACGCCTGTAATCCCAGCACTTTGGGAGGCAAGAGGATTACTTGAGCTCAGGGTTTCGAGACCAGCCTGGGCAGCATGGTGAGGCCTCGACTCTACAGTAAATCAAAAAATCAGCTGGGCATGGTGACACATGCCTATGGTTCCAGCTACTTGGAAAGCGAGGCAGAAGGATCACCTGAGCCCAGCAGGTCGAGGTTGTGGTGGCCATGAGTGTGCCACTACGCTCCAGCCTGGGCAACAGAGTGAGACTCTAGCTCCAAAAACAACAACAAAAACAATTTAGGCAAAATATTTTAAAAACTTTTTGTTACTTTATTGTATAAAGTAGCCTTTAGCTAATCGGAATGTGAGCAACCCAAGAGTATTTATCTCAGCATAGTGTATCACTTCCAATAGACTTAACTTTAGAACGTAGATAACTGGAAAAAAAAAAAGTTCTGGATGAGATTAAGTGTGATGAAAAGGCATTTTCAATCCTGTTTCATTCTTTATTAGGGTTTTTATATTTAAAACTTTCGGGGAGAGGCTCTGCCAAGGTTTTAGGTCAAGGACACACTTTTCCCAAGGATTGTAGCCTCCAGTGCCTTGAATTTCGATTTATTTGGAATAGAATGTAAAATTTTGGCTAATTGAAGTTTCCTTATATATTATCTATGACGTACAGAGTTTAAAAAAAAAATTCAGCTGGGTGTGGTGGCTCATGCCTGTAATTCCAGCACTTTGGGAGGCAGAGGTGATAGGATTGAATGAGCCCAGGGTTCGAGACCAGCCTGGGCAACTTGGTGAGACTTCATCTCTACAATAAATCAAAAAATTAGCCGGGTATGGTGGTGTGTGCCTGTAGTTCCAGCTACTTTGGAAGGCTGAGGTGAAAGGATCGCATGAGCCCAGAAGGTCGAGGCTGCGGTGGCTGTGAGCGTGCCACTGCACTCCAGCCTGGGCAACAAAGTGAGACTCCGACTCAGTTCAGATGCGAACTTCTAAATTTGATCCTTTCGTTGATGCAAAAGGTATCTCAGAGATCTTATAGAGCCTCAGAATTGTCATTGTAAGATTCTTGTATGGGTAAAACGAGATGATCTTTGTGAAGTTCCTAGAAGAGCGCCCATGTGTGGAGGCAGTGTAGCACCTTGCCAAGGGAAACTAGACTGCCTGAGTTTGAATCCCCACACCACTCCACTCACTGGTTCTCTGATCCTGGGCAGGTATTTGACCTCAGTACCTCAGTTTTTTTCATCAGTAAATAATAATAGTATCTACCTCCTAAGATTATTTTAAGGATTAAATGAGTTAAATATGTAGTTCCCTTAGAATAGTGCCAGACAGGCAGTAAGTATTGTCGTTTTTACAAGCCATTCTGAGTTGACCAGTCAAATGTAAGATGATCTCATTGTGTTTAATTGAAGTACCTATCATAGTATTCCAGAGTGAGAAAGAAGGTGATAGGCTCATTCTATGCTGCACTGGGAGGTAGGCCATTTTCTGGGGATGAGTGCTTAGTTTTGGGCACTAAGACTGAGTTGTAGCCAAAGGAGAGAGACCAGGCTAGTGGAAATTGTATTGTGAGGAACATTTGCAAGAACTGAAAATTTATTTATTATCTGGGTAAAAGAAGACTTCCCCCATTTGACAGTCACAATGGAAAGACCTGACTTAGATGGGCAGATAATTAGAAAATTAAAATGTGATCTGGCATAATTGGAAGAATGATTACTTTTCAGATTGGCTTCTTCCCTATGATATCATCTTCCCTCCTGAGACTCTCAGCTTTGACCCCACTGAATGCAATGTCATTGTTCTGAATCATCCCATACAGTTTTGGGTCTGTTAGGAAAATGAGCATTTTGATTATTAGACCCAGTGTAGTTTGGGCTCCCTTTGGAAGTGACATGCTCCAGAATATTAGGTTCTTTTAGGGAGATTAATATATTGAGTGGGCCAGGCTCGGTGACTCAGCCTGTAATCCCAGCACTTTGGGAGGCCGAGGCGAGTGGATTACCTGAGCCTGCAGGTTTGAGACCAGCCTGGGCAGCTTGGTGAGACCTTGTCTCTAAAATAAAATAAAAAATTAGCCAGGTATGATAGCGTGTACTTGTAGTTCTGGCAACTTGGAAGGCTGAGGCAGAAGGATCGCCAGTGCCCAGCAGGTCAACCCTAGGGTGGCAGTGAGTGTGCCACTGTACTCCAACCTGGGCGACAGAGAGAGTCCCAGTCAAATATATATATATATATTTATATTTTTTTTTTTTTTTTTGAGTAAATGGTTATCCTGAGCATCTTTTAATGGCCTTCTGCTTCTGCTTATATATTTCCCATAGAATCTTTATGTAAGAAAAATGAAAATATTTGCAATTCCTTAGTTTGTTTAGGGTCATCTAGAGGAATTAGAGTACATTTTCCTAATTTGCATTAGGAGCAAAAGAATTACTCTTTGTTAACTGAGGAATTTCTTACATGTTTTAGGTGCTTTTGATCTAAATACCCCAGAAGAAATTTTCCTCCTTTCAGCTTATAAATTTTAATTAAAATTTTTATAAAAGAAGAAAATTGATACTCAGCTCATTTCTACATGTAGGCAAAAGATGATATGGATGGATCTGTTGGGGGATATAAATTTATTTCTTTAGGTGAGTTGGGTTTTAAATGAGTATACTTTTATACTTGAACTCCGAAGAACAAGAGGTAGAATGAAGCCTGTGAGTTTGGTCAGTGTGTTGAACTTCATAGGAGGTGAATGTCCGTACTTTCATCTTCAGCCCTTTGTTTCACCAGATTCTTGTGTGTCAGTTCATCTACTTAGTAGCTTACTCGAATTTTGGGGGAAAACTAGAGAATAAGGAATAGCTGTTAAATTTTACGTGGAAAGGGATAGTTGGGCATATAAAACATTTAAGACGTACACTTTTGGAATGTAAATTTAAGGTTGTTTTTTGTTTTTTTGTTTTTTGATAAATGTTTTTCTTGGGTTTCTCCTGAGGTTTCTCCTGAGGCTGTCTTCAGTTATCTGAAACTCCTTATTTCTTCCATAGATGTTTTTTGAATCAGGCACTGTGCTGCAGCAGTGGACACCCAAGTTACAATAGATTTTCTTCCCTTACAGAGTGTTATTGAAATAGGATTTTTAAAAACCTGTATGTTTTGAAGTTTTCCTCTATTTCTGAGTTTCTATCCTGAAGTATTGTTTTTTTGATCTAGAATCGGCCCCCCCATTCTCTTTTAAAGAAGGATTTTAAAATGCTTAATGCTTTCAATAGTGAAATTATAAAGAAAAATACTTGTTTTCCCCAAAATACCCAGGGGCCCTGTTGGGGCATCAGTCATTGCTCTAATGTTGACTGTAACTATCGGAAACAAATGTTCATATTGAAAAACTGTTATGAAAATATTGAGGCGGAAGGATGGCCAGAGCCCCAGCAGGTCGAGGCTGCAGTGGCCAAGAGCGGCCACTGCACTCCAGTCTGGGCAACAGAGTGAGACTCCAACTCAAAAAAAAAAAAAAAAAATTGTTTTTCAAAAATAAATTTTGACCAGCAGGAGGGATAAAATTTAAATCTAAATAATAAACTTTTCTCAAAGCAGGGGAGACCATATGATTTTCGCCTTGAAAAGGCTGTCCTGTATGATGATCATATGCTCTCTAAATAGATTTTCTGTGTTTTAGGGAAAGAATCTCAGAAAGGATCCCTGCTCTTTGATGACCTCCCTCCAGCCAGCAGTACTGACTCAGGTACAGTCTTCAGGCTCTCCCAGGTGTGTGTCAACGTCTCTACTCATCCTGGGATTGTAGTTGTCTCAATCTTTTTCCCTTTCCCCCATTTTCAACACACAGATGTTTTAGGTGTTGGACTGTCTTAAGTTTTGAATCCATGGCATCAGGTAAGGCAGAAAAATCTGCTAGTCGCTAGCCCTGAGAAGTACTGCATAAAAATATTGAGCAGTTTTCTCTGGTTCATTTCAGTATTTATTTTACTAGCTGAAATAAAATTTAACTTTTAAGACATATTTTTATTTCCTTAGAAATGATAGGACTTTAAAATAGGTTCAAGATATTATTCACTGCGGTATGAGTTGCCACTGGATTGACGCAAGAGCTTTGAGTTTATTTCAGTAACCTACATAGGTGTCCTGGTGGGATGGATTCTGACACTTAAGCCTTATATTATTTTTTTGTGGGCTCACTAAGTGTTCTGCTGTGTTTCAGGATCAGGGGGACCTTTGCTTTTTGATGATCTCCCACCTGCTAGCAGTGGTGATTCAGGTAAGTGGTAGGGGGAAAAAAAATCCTAGGTGATTATGGAAATAATACATACATAATATTTTGTTTTCATGGGGAATTTGCATATAGGTTTTAGCAGGATTTTGGATGACATTAAGTCATATAGCATAAGGTTTACTGAAACTAAATGGATCCATCAAGTGGAAGCAAAAAGGTTAGGTACTTTTTGATGATTATTTATCTTTAATTTCTTGAAGCTCAAACTGCTGGAACTGACTTTAAGAATTAAGAGCTCAATAATTTATTCTGAACTTTGTTATTAACATTTAAGAAACTATTCAGAGTCTATTATTCTCATTTGCCTTACTATGTCCCTGACAGATCCAAATGTATCCTGCCTGTTAGCATTGGCTCTACCTGCTCCTGAAAATGTTTAACTTCATTTAAGTAGAACGGAAGAATACAGTAGATTCTCGTTGTTTTCATAATGACAAATCTATTATTCCATCTTGCTGAGAACTTCCTATGTGGCGTTTCTCCTGTTGGGGAGTTTGGGAGCTAAAGGGGACTGAGGGGAAAATGGTGTAGAGAACAGTGTGGGTGAAGGCTTTTCCATTTCATATGTTAGTATATTTCTGTATTTGAGAAAAGTATTGCAATCATCTAAAATAAGAATTCTCAAGTTTTCAGGGTTGTAGACCCCTAAGCAAAAATACTCTCATACTTAAAAATGTAGCCTGAAACCTTCCCAATAAAGATAGTACTCAGTTATAATGAAAATTAATTTGTCCAAACAAGGCTCTTACATATTTAATAAAAGAAATTAAGATACAGCATAGCTATCTTAGTTATCCATAAGGCAAAGACAATAAACTGGAAGGTCTATACCGCTACTAACAAGTTTGATTTATATATATAAAATCTTGCATCAAATGTTTTAGATTTCTTGAGAAGACAACACATTCTCAAGCAGTCAGGGGCCATTTACAAAAGTTGGTTATATACTAGGTCATAAAATAAGTCTCATTCTGTTTCATGTATAGGCCTCATTCTGTACTATACTGTAATTTGTTTAGAAGTCATAGCAAAAGCTTAAAGTTTTCTCTGTTTTGGAACTCAAAAGAAAGAAAGATACTTTCACATACACATCAAGAAAACTAGAACCCGAACAGTAAGCAACAGGGCACTAGTGGTGAGATGGCAACTCCTTTGGGAGAAATTCTGTTAGAAATATCTATGATTTTTTAAAATTTGGCTTGTAATGTGGGGTGACATATATGTATTATACTGTTGCAGAAATATGTCCTTGTGCAAAAAATTTACTCTTGAGGGCAGGACCATTTTCTGTACTTTTTCCTCAGCATTCAGAAATGGTTGGCAAAGAATAGGTTGATAAATGGTTGCATACTTTTTTTTTTTTTTAAGTGATGAGGTTTTGTTATTTTGCCCATGCTGATCATGAACTCCTGGGCTCAAGTGATCCTCCCGCTTCAGCCTCCTGAGTAGCTGAGAATACAGGCACATGCTACTGTGTCCAGCTATTGTTTAACTTTATACCTAAATGCAGGGGACACTTAGAGTCAGAAGCTGCCAGTTATTGGACATTTGCTATAGCAGGCACTGCAACCAATGCTTTACATACTTTGTCCCCATCAATTTTCAAACAACTCTCAGAAAAGACAGTATTCTTACGATGTTACAGAGGAAGAAACTGAGTCTAGAAGGTTAAATAACTTGCCTTTAAGTTGCACACCTCTTGAACCTAGACTCTTCTAATTCCAAACACATACACAACGCAGGTTTCCTCTTAGCTTAGGCCTTGACTACATATCCATCCCTCTGCAAGTGAGAATGGTTGCAGCTACCCTATTTTACCTTTCAGGATTACAGTTCTCAGAACCCGGCATTTACCTTATTTTGAGCCTTTTTGGGTACTTATTACTTTATGGAACTTGTTCAGGATATGTTAGTTTGCCTACAGATTTTGAAAACTTTCTTATTTATGAATAAGGGCTCATGGGTATAAAACATCATGTATATGCCACAGGCTAAAAATGTGTACATGTATTTTAATCACTGAAAAGCTTCTATTACAAATCCTTTCAGGGTTGATTTGACTCAGTGTCTAGATCTTGTATTCTCCCACTGTGGATTCACAACACAGCCCATGCATGCCTCTTCTGCCCCCTCAACTCCACCCCCTGTTAAGTCACAACTACTGGCTCTGTCTGTGTCTGCCAGTCCTTGCCTGAAATGTCACCATTGTATCTGGGCACTGGGATAAAACCTAGTATGGTAGTGACTTTTTCTAACAGTCTACAGCTGTGTTTCTGTCTGGCTTTTACTTTATTTCTAGGTTCTCTTGCCACATCAGTATCCCAGATGGTAAAGAATGAAGGGAAAGGAGCAAAGAGAAAAACCTCTGAGGAGGAGAAGAATGGCAGTGAAGAGCTTGTGGAAAAGAAAGTTTGTAAAGGTTTTCAGACAGTTTGAAACCAAATGTATTAGACTTTATATTCTAAAACAACCCAGAGCAAAAATAATCTAGCTTTCTAATTATACTTTCTTTTTATGTATATATTTAAGAAATGAGTAATGGTTCCTTTTTTGCAAATAATTTCCAAGTTTACCTGTGCTTTCTCTGTCCTTTTACTTTTCATATTCATCTGTCCCTACCTTTGATAAGAAACTTACATTTGTTCCTCAAGAGTTAAAAAATACAGGTAGTTTTTCTCTTTCCACAATGAATTGTTAGTTTACTGACCACCCAGTCTCTCTGTGACTTCTGGTCTTTGATCACAACCTGTTGATTCTTGCTTTGAATTCTGTGATTTGGCTTAGTAGACAGCTTCCCAGGAGAGCCTAAGTCTGGAAAAAGTAGTTGAAGTTTGTAGTAAGTTTTGTAACTTGTCAAAGTTAGTGGGGAAGAGAATTATAAGTATTGACTAAAGAGAAGTAGCTGTGGATTTCATTTACTGCACCAGACTACTTTGTCTCTTGCTACAAGTTACCATATTACCTCAATGAAAGCTGTATGATGCAGGTGGAGGTATGTGAAAAGACCCACTTGTAGTTCTACTGGGAAGACATCTTCTGTTTAACTTGTTGTTTCTCAGAGGACAGCTCTTCGAAAAGTGATCATTTTATTTTTTGCCTGGCTCTTGGTTGCAGAAAATGAGCTTAAACTAGCCTAGCCATTAAATGTAACTGGATCTCTGGGCCTGCAGTGGAATCCTTTATCCTTTCCGTCCTCATTTGAAGTAAAAGCAGCTGGTCTTACTGTCTGTTCAAATTCTCCACTAGCCTTGAGCATGGAAATACATATTTTCAGGACAACTAACAGGGCATTTGGGACAATCTCTGCTGACTTGTATTTCTCTAGATTAGGAATCTTTGTCCTCATTAAATTATCACAAGACTCAATCTGCACATGATCCCTTCTCCTGATTTGAATCCCACTTTTGTGGGATGGCAGATCGCCTTGCCCTGGTGCTGACTTACAGCCCAGACAGAGCTGTTCTGTGCTCACTAGCTATTTTCTCATGTCTCTGCCCTGCTGTCTACCCTCTCAGCCCAGCCTATACAACAGTGCGCTGATTTTGGTTACAGACTCGCGGCTGGGGAGATGCTTTGAGGGATATTGCTTGTTTGTTTGCATCTTTAGGACACTGCTGAGTAAAACAGCCATAGTTCCCTCTCATTTGCTCTGGGACTAGGGCTTCCAGAGGGTCTGGCACAGCTTTGTATTGGCTTTTTTGTTCTCTTTTCCTTAGCCTCTTCGGTGATCTTTGGTCTGAAAGGCTATGTAGCAGAGCGGAAGGGTGAGAGGGAGGAGATGCAGGACGCCCACGTCATCCTGAACGACATCACCGAGGAGTGTGGGCCCCCATCATCCCTCATGTGAGTGTCTGTGCTCCAGGAAGCCTTCTTGGCATTAAATTCTCCTCTGTTTTGACTGGAGTTCTGGAGTATGTCTAGTTGTTATTTACTAGAAAGACTGACAATGTCACTTGAATTGCTTGGTTCTATATTAGTGGTTCTCAGCTAAGGCTGATTTTGCCCCCCAAGGAACATTTGTCAGTATCTGAGGACATTTTTGTTGTCACGGTTGGGGGAAGGTGTTGTTACAGGCATCTGGTGAGTAGAGGCCAGGAATACTGCTAAACATCTTAGAAATACAGGGCAGTCCCACAACAAAGACCTGTCCAGCCTGAGATGTCAGTAGTGCTGCAGTTGAGAAATCCTGCTAAATGGTAACTGGTGCTCCACGCTGTGGATATTCAGGGCGTGTTATTTACTCACCAGTAACTGAGCAGCTTCTGACAGAGAGTGGTTTTATTCTGTGACCTAGAAGATAGAGTTGGAAGTCACTAATTAAAGTATGAATGGTGATCAAGGAGAACTAGTACTGATAATCAGCGCCCAGAAAGAACAAAAAAGTTGAAATGACTTCAAGGAAAAGAAAGACAATGAAAAATTTCCTGCAGCTATGCAAACTAAAATGAATTCTTCTGGATAAGCCTTTAGGAATGGAGAAAAAGCAACCAGAGGTAGGACATTAAGTTGACTGTTAACATAACATTACATGTATAATGATGTAAATTACATAATTATTAATACATAATATTAACAGTTTCCACACTCCAGAATTTCATAATATTTGCATTACATACATTTACTGATATCAGTCGGTTATTAATATACAGTGTGCTGGAGCCATCTGTGCCAGTGGCTTTTGTCCAATAGATGAAGCCTAATCAAAAAGATGAAGTGGGAAAAAAAAGATGAAGTGATGGCTGCTTCAGAGCAGCTGGTCATGTGCAGAAGCAAGGATAAGTATACTCATTGTTGTAATGCTGCCCTTGTCCACCAAGATTGTGTGTGCTGGGAATTGCTGAATTCAAAGCCAGGAAAGGGACTTCTGGAGAGCCCGGAAAGGCAGATCTTTTAGGGGTAGATTTAATTGGAAAAACTAAATCATGCCTAAGCAACACTAAATCATACCTAACAATACTAGACTGTAAGATAACGATTCTGAGTTATAAACCAGATAAGATTTATTTTCTCATGGCTCATGATGCCATGCCCTAAACTGGAAAGGAATGAAAACGTTTGGAAAAAGGGCAGCTCTGTAGAATAAATGTCATTTCTCACAAATATTTTTGTTTTTTTCCTGCTTGAAACAGTTTACTTGATGTCTTTTATTCCTTATATGTGGGTTTCTGGTAAAACTTAAATGAGGAATAATAAAAGTGGTAAGATAGGCTTTAAAAATGAGACACTGTTCATAGTTTATTTGAAGTGATTCTTCCCCTCTGCTTTTATAGATACAATCATATGCCGAATAGGTCAGCTGTAGACTGCATATATGATGGTGGTATCATAAGATTATAATATCATGTTTTTTATTGTATCTTTTCTACGTTTAGATATATTTAGATACACAAATACTTATCATTAGATTACTACTGCCTACAGTAACATGCTGTACAGTTTTGTAGTCTAGGAGCAGTACCTATACCATATAGTCAAAAGCATGTAACAGGCCATACCATCTTGGTTTCTCTAAGTATGACAGTCATATAATGTTCACATGATGACAAAATTGCCAAACATATTTCAGAACGTGTCTCTGCTGTTGCTTGATACATGACTATATTTTTAACTGTCTTGAGTCAGTAACTTTATCTGTTAATACTTAAAGCCAGATCTGATTTAAATCGTAAATAAGTTCTGAATTTTACTTTCATCATTAGTGAAAACTCAGTTAACAGATCTACACTTTTTAAAACAAGCATAAATTTAAAATGCCCCAAAAGGCCGAGTGTGGTGGCTTATGCCTGTAATTGTAATTACAGCACTTTGGGAAGCCAAGGCAGGAGAATTGCTTGAGGCTAAGAGTTTAAGACCAGCTTGGGCAAAATAGTGAGATCCTATCTCTACAAAAAATAAAAACAGCCGGGCATGGTGGTGTGTACCTGTAGTCCTAGCTGCTCGGAAGACTGAGGCTGGATAATCACATGAACCCAGGAGTTTATCATACCACTGCATTCCATTCTGGGTGATAGAGCAAGACCTTGTCTCTTAAAAAAAAAAAAAAAAAGTCCATGAAAGTTAACTTAAGTGTTTGTCTTAATGTTACAGCCTCCCCCCGCCCCCCCCCCTTTTTTTTTTTGAGTTGAGGTCTCACCTTTGCCCAGGCTGGAGTGCTGTGGTATGATCACGGCTCTCTGCAACCTCGACCTTCTAGGCTCAGGTGATCCTTCTGTCTCAGCCTCCTGGGTAACTGGGACTATAGGTGTATGCCACCATACTTGGCTATTTTTTTTTTCTTTTTCCTCCTCACTTGCACGCAACCTCACCCAGCTAATTTTAAAAAATTTTTTGTAGAGACGAGTCTCATTATTTGCCTAGGCTAGTCTTGAACTTCTGGGCTCATGCAATCCTGCCTCAGCCTCCCAAAGTGCTAGGATTATGGGTATGAGCCACTGTGCCTGGCCCTCTGTCTTATTAATGTTTACTCTTTCAGGTGAGATTTGAAAGCTTTAATGGCAAAGTGTGACTTTTACTGTGAGAATTTCATTGACTCTCAATTCATTCTTCCAGTACTCGGGTTTCATATTTTGCTGTTTTTGATGGACATGGAGGGATTCGAGCCTCAAAATTTGCTGCACAGAATTTGCATCAGAACCTAATCAGGAAATTTCCTAAAGGTGAGACTGAGAAGTAAATCAGTTAATATTCATTTTGTTTTTTGCTGTTTGGATCAGACAGGTATGTCACTTTGGCTTTCACAATCACTGAAGACTCTTAAAAGAATGGGGCTGAGAAAAGTGGATGCTGAGGCATCAGGGTATAGTGGCCATGTAGGTGTGGCTTAGGATGGTATTTCTCATGTCTTTGAAAGATGGGCACCTTTTGTGGATTGTCTTTGGTTACAATGAGCATCTTGCCTTTTCACCTGGGAAACTAATAAAAGCCAAATTCAAATAGTACTGTGTTATAGGTGAGGAAATAGAGATTGTTCTTAGTCATGCTTAGAAATCAACTGACGTGCAAAAATTACAAAAGCAAAATGATGTTGGGAGGGGGATAATCTTCCCCCCTTTGAGAGGCTGTTTTCTTTTGGCCCTTCTGTAATAGGAGATGTAATCAGTGTAGAGAAAACAGTGAAAAGATGCCTTTTGGATACTTTTAAGCATACTGATGAAGAGTTCCTTAAACAAGCTTCGAGCCAGTAAGTATAATTCCATGAAGTTTGAGTGGACACTAATGTCTTCCTGAATGCATTTCAGGTCTTCTGATGTGGTTTAACACTAATGTTCACTATCTGAAAAGTGCCTAGCACTGAGTAAGCTCTTAACAACCTTTAGCTAAATCTAAAACACAAAGAAAGTAAGTATCAAGGAAATGGTTCATTTTAAAGTATAACATACTTCCCATTCACCTCTGCAAATTAGTCTCAAAGTGCTAGGCTGAAAGTGGTGACTGTGTTTCTGATGTGTCTTCCCCCAGGAAGCCTGCCTGGAAAGATGGGTCCACTGCCACGTGTGTTCTGGCTGTAGACAACATTCTTTATATTGCCAACCTCGGAGATAGTCGGGTATGTGGCTCTGGAGCCACCCATTTAGATGACAATATATTTTATGGGGGGAAAAATTAGCAAATACTGGTGAATAAGATTAAAATGATGATGGCTGGGTTGAAATTTTCTTCTTGTGAGGTTGCAAGGTGTTCCACAGTATTTAACTTCTGGGTAGGGAGATAGTAGCTAAGCTAGAGGCAGTTTGTTCTCTGGGAAAACCTTGCCCTATAACAGACTACTGCTTTTAAACCCAGGTCCTTTTTGTTTCTTTTCTCCCCCCATGGTTTTGTGTGTGTGTGTGTGTGTGTGTGTGTGTGTGTGTGTGTGTGTGTGTGTGTGATTAATCAGTATGCAAGTAGCTTAAATATTATTTTACTTTATTGCTTTACCTCAGACAGAATGAATGAAAAATATTAACCCTTGCCTCTTGAAATCATTGCAATTTCAGAATAACTCAAAAGCTACAGCTAGAAAAGTACTGGGGGATGTACCATTCATCCACAGAGTCCAGTCTACCTGGTTTAGGGAGACAGCCCGGGGTGTTCCTGGTGACCATTGTGGGGAGTGACATAAACCCTGCAGGCAGTGCTCTGGAAGGCTGCCTCCATTCCCGCCCTTCTCTGAGTCAGGACTGTATGCACAATTCTGTTACCACTTTTTCAGCCAGCCTTTGTAGTCCTTCAGCAGTCACAGGAACAAAGTGACACCTTGCACACATTTAAGCAGCATCTTCATCCCTGATGCTTTTGGAGTGATTATTTATGAAATAAATACCAAGCACTGGGGGTACATCAGTGAACAAAACAGATACCAGCCTCTGCCTGGTAGAGTTTATATTCTGGTGATCCTCTGATGGCTCTAGCACATATGTGTTTAAACCGTGTGATTTCAAAAATGGCAGGAGGAAGCTTGGAAAAAAAGAGTGAAACCCAAATTTGAATCTTGGCTCCGCTTTATGACTTTACTTTTATCCTTTAGGTCTCAGGTTTCCTCCTCTGTAACACAAACATAGTAAACCTGTGGCACCTCCCCCCGTACTTTACTAGTGACAGTAAACCTGGTAGAAGTGAAAACAAACAGACACCAATATGGAGGTCCTGCTCAGGACTTGACCAGCATGTGGAACGCTCACCCTCCTCTTTGCCTCCCACAGACACACAGACTTATGTCTTCAGCCTTGTAGACTCCAGGCCAAAAGGGACCTTGATACTGGTTGAATGCCTCCCTTTCGTGTCACAGATGTGACACTGGCCAGAGTGAGTGAGTGATTGTAGTCATCCAGCAAAGTTTGCACCAGAGTTGTGACCAGAACTGGAGGTGTCTCTTCCTAACTGGTGTGTCTTTAACTGTTCTTTGATGCTTGATTCTTTGAACTTGTGTTTATCAGCAGGAGGCTGAATATGAAACTCCATTGTTAACTTTCTTCAACTGCTACCGTGAAACACTGGTCTCATTGAATTTCATAACTATTGTAATCTCCATCTTCCCAGGCAATCTTATGTCGTTATAATGAAGAAAGTCAAAAACATGCGGCCTTAAGCCTCAGCAAAGAGCATAATCCAACACAGTATGAAGAGCGAATGAGAATACAGAAGGCTGGAGGAAATGTCAGGTAATAAGGGACTGATAGCTGTAGGGAAGGAGGGCTGTTGGCTGTAGAAATGTCTTCCCAAGACCTTCAAGGAGTTGAACTTCCATGTTACTCAGTTTTCAGCATGATGAGATTCTGAGGTCTACACTGATGCCATAGGTGGATGACTGTTGTAGGATTTTACATATGTCCAAGTGAAAGTAAATTATGTGCATAAGAAATTTGCCTCCCTAAATTTGAAAAAGGATAAAATCTGTCTCAAATTCACGTTCACCATTTGCAATGCTTTCTCTGTTTCTAGGAAGTTTCCTGAACACTGTCACTTGTCACACTGAATACATGACAGTTTTAGGTGAATTCTCCAGAAAGCAAACCTAATTGCTTAACACAGAACATATTAGGACATACTTGTAGTATGTACTCATTATTGCTGGTCTTCTTGGGAACAGTTTCTCTGGCACAGAGAACCATGTCTTTCCTGGCTCTGTCTTCTGCAATTCCATTGCATCTCTCATTAAATTTTTGTAAACCATGTGTCTGCTCTGGTTTATCATCTGCTATTTCTCCAAGGCAGTTAAAAGGGAGCTTACATGTTTTCTTTACTTTAGAAAATTCTCCTTCAAGGACATTGCATTATGAATTTGACCAGAATTATTTTCTTGTTCATTGTATAGTATGACTATTAAACTTTTATTTTCTGTTGGAGATAAGACAGATGTCATCTATCAGTGTAAGACTGCATTTGTCCTTTCAAGTGTAGTTTCTCTTTTATTCAGGGAAGTCTTTGTTATTGCTCCAGACTGAGTCTGTCAGTGGTGCTAGGAGGTCTCTATAGAGAGGCGTCAGAGCCATTAGCATTTGTTCAAAAGCTCTTGGATTAGTGAGACATGATTTCATTCATGGTTAATGCAGTTTACATACATGAGCAGTGATGGGATTGTAGACCTGGTTTTAGACCTCAGGCATAGCTGTTTGCTCCATGTTTGCCACCGTGACTACTGTCCTGGTGACTACTGTAGAAGGTAATGCCTGAGGAAGACTCTAACGTGAATGTCAGCATCACATCTTCTACCTTTTGTTTTTGTTTTTGTTTTTTGAGTTGGAGTCTCACTCCGTCGCCCAGACTGGAGTGCAGTGGCCACTCCCAGCCACCGCAGCCTCGACCTGCTGGGCTCCAGTGATCCTTCTGCCTCAGCCTTCCAAGTAGCTGGAACTACAGGCGCATGCTACCACACCTGGCTAATTTTTTGATTTATTGTAGAGATGAGGTCTCATCAAGTTGCCTAAGCGGGTCTCAAACCCGCGGGCTCAGGCAATCCACTCACCTCAGCCTCTCAAGGCGTGGGATTACAGGCTGAGCCACTGAACCCGGCTTCATCTTCTACCTTTTTAAAATAACTTTTAAATTCTTCTTTTGCCTGAACTCCTCCTAAGGATTTTTGTATTGACAGTCCTGTGACTGAAAGTGAGGCCAGCTGGGTTGCAGTTGCTTTCTATTTCCCAGTCCTCACTTAATTCAGACAATGTTCAGATGCCTTAGAGATACAATTTAACAGTGTGAGCTTGGGTGTACCCTTTATTTCAGAGAAGTGAGGCTGGAAGCTAAGAGTTGGGCAGTGGCTCTCTGTCCCTGAATAGCAGGGCCCTATTACCTGCTCTTCCACCTGAGGCCAGGGCTAGCTCCTCCCCACAACTGCAGCTTTAGCCTTAGCCTTCCAACTAGCTGAAACTATGGGCATGCGCTACCACCCCTGGCTATTTTATTTATTTATTTTAGAGATGAGTCTCGCCAAGTTGTCCTGGCTGGTCTCGAACCCCTGGGTTTAGGTAATACTCTCATCTCCACCTCCCAAAGTGCTGGGATTATCAGTCACCCAGATTCAGCAGTGAACATTTTGTCATTGTTGCTTTGTCTGTATGTGTGCGTCAGGCTGAACTATTTGAAAGTTGCATACATTATGACATAACACCCTAAATACTTCAGCATGTATCTCCTGAAAATAAGGATAGTCTAGACATAATCAGTGATCATTTTCATACTAACAACAGTAATACTCTTTAGGTTATATTAGATTATCTAATATCCTATCCGTATTCATTCTGTATTCATATTTCCTCAATCCACAAAACATCTTTGTTTCAAACTAGGGTCCAGTCAGCATTCATGTTTACCTTGGACTTGTATTTCTTACTTTGAACCATGATATATGCCAGCAGTTGTATAGAGTCACCAATGTTCAGAATTTGTGTTTTTTTTCATGGTATCATTTCCATATATTTTCTGTAAACTGGAAGTTAGGTGTAAAGCCTTCTTTAGGTTCACATTTAATGTTTTTAGCAACGTTTTATGGAGGATGCTATATGCTCAATAGTCCCTCACTTCAGTAGGCATATAATGTCACTATTAGTGATGCTAAATTCTAGCACTTGGCTCCTTGTTTCCCTGTGTCATCAGCAGGTAATCTAGGGAGACGTACTTTGGTACTTTGTGAATACTCTGTTTCCCGATGATCTTAGCATTCCTTAATGATCCTTGGCATGAATCATTATTTCATTAGGGATGTCAAAGTTAATTTTCATATTCTGTGATTTTTTCCACATGTATTAACAGGCATTCTGTAAAGAAAGGTTTTTCATCATCAGTAGGGGATGAACACAGTTTCTTCTAAGAAAGCAGGGTAAATGTCATTTTCTTGAATTACCAATTTGCAAAGTCAGATAGTCACTTGCAGTTGTGGATATTAGTGTTTTTCCTTTCACTGCTTTGCTTCTTTCCCTCCTTCATTACCCTGTGAATCACTGTGTGCCAGTGAACTTTATTTATTCAGTGTGTTATGTTAATTGTAGTCATAGATGGGTTATTTTCTGCTGCCTGCTTTACCAAAGATATAGCCAGTGGAGGCTCCTTTAGGCTGTGTCCTTGTCATACGTTTACAGTAATCTTTAAGAACCAGAATCCATGTGCTGAGATTGCTCATTTCATCTGGAGTATCTTCAATTCTAAGTCCACTGAAGGACAAGCAGGCTTGGAAACCCGTTGCATTTTAAAACATGAGCTTAGATTGCTATTTCTTACTCTCATTTAGCATTACAGGGATTTAACTTTACAGGGTTTTCTCTTCTTTGACTTAATACTTATAGCTCCTTTCTCTTAGACTGAAAACCTTGGCTCCTAATAACAGTATATTTATTTGTCAAAATAGTTACAAAATCATAGTAACAAAATGATTAGGGTTTTTTTGGAGACAGGGTTTCACTCTGTTGCCCAGGCTGGAGTGTAATGGCACAATCATGGCTCATTGCAGCCTCAAATTCCTGGACTCAAATGATGCTCCCGCCTCAGCTCCTGCATCACCATTGTCAGCTAATTGTTCTGTTTTATTTGTATTGATAGGGTCATGCTTTCTTGGCCAGGCTGGTCTTGAACTCCTGGCCTAAAGCAGTCCTCCCGCCTCTGCCTCCCAAAGTGCTGGGATTATAGGCTGAGCCACCGAACCTGGCCAAGAGATTAGATTTTAATGGGATTTTAACAGTGTCTCTATTTGGGAAAATGAAAAAGTTCTGGGGATAGATCGTGGTGATGGTTTGTACAACACTGTGAATGTATTTAATGCTACTGAACTGTATACTTGAAAATGGTTAAGATGGTAAAATTTATGTATTTTTTACCACAGTGAAAAAAGTGAGAAACTCCCATTCATAGTTCAAAATCTAAATTGAGTGAAAAGACATATTTGGAGATATCATGCATTTATCTTTGTTTCCTTCACCCTATTCGTTGATTCTTTCCAGTGTTTCTTAGAAAAGTAAGTAAATCTGTGTGTGTGTGTTGTTTTGTTTTTTTACTTTCTTATACTAAAGGTAGTTATGTAGCCGTGAATTTCTCTAAGAAGGTAAAGACAGTTTTGTTTTTATTTTACAAGGAAGGCAACTGAACTGGGGGGAAGTTTACAAATAGCATTTAGATTTTTTTTTTTTTAAGTTGGAGTTTCACTCCATCGCCCAGACTGGAGTGCAGTGGCCACTCTTGGCCACCACAGCCTTGACCCACTGGGCTCTGGCGATCCTTCCACCTCAGACTTCTGAGTAGCTGGAATTACAGGCGTACGCTACCACGCCCGGCTGATTTTTTTGATTTATTGTAGAGATGAAGTCTCACTGCCCAGGCGGGTCTTGAACCTGCGGGCTCATGCAATCCACTCACCTCAGCCTCCCAAAGGCGCAGGATTACAGGCTGAGCCACCGAGCCCGGCTAGCATTTAGATTTAAGTATATTAGTAATCTGTACCTAGAACTTGGTCGGTTGCAGGTCTGTCATAACTAAAAGAAACAATTCGGAATCATGCTGTCAGTTATCTGTAGTGTACACATATTAATACATTGGATGTGGGCATCTGCCCTTCTTTGGATGGTCAGAACATAGAGCTTCCACTTACTGCCTTAGCTTTGCAAGCATCAGTTGTGGGTAGTCTATTAAGACCAACTGTGTCCTACTTTTACTGACATGTTACAGGAGCTGAAGTCCAAGCAGTCTCTAGCTTCTCTTAGCAGCCAGATTAGCCTTTAACCCACAAGTAGTAGGAGGTCTCAGAGACTGCATCTCTCTTTCTCTCTGATTATTAAGAAAAACCTGAAACAGAAAATAGCAGCACAATACCCAAGATTAGAGGACTCTGTTGAACAGTGTACCCATTGATAGGAAAACAGTTTTCTGTTGGCAAATGGAAAACAGATAAAACAGCACAAAGCAAAAACTGGGAGTGCCTAAGGTCAGGACACAGTCCTAATGAGGGCTGGTACCAAGGGACAGGAAGATTGGCTTGGTAGGCTGAGACTTAAAAGCCACTTTCTCCTAAGCATTCTAATTATGGGGGAAGAAACTTTGAGGGTAGGGGAAGGCGAATGAACTTTCAGCAGTTTGTTGGGGAGAGAACCTGCTGTGAAACACAGCTTTCTGTTGTGTCCAGAGTAATGTAGGCATTCTAAGAAATGAACACCAATAGAGTATATATCAGAAAGCGTTTGCTCTGTGTGGTGGTGTGTGCCTGTAGTCCCGGCTACTTGGGAGGCTGAGGCAGGAGGATTGCTTCAGTCCAGGAAGTAAGGCTGTAGCATGCTATAATTGCACCTGTCATGACCACTGCACTGCAGCCTGGGCAACATAGCCAGACCCCATCCCTTTAAAAAAAAAAAAAAGTTATAGTAAAATAGATAAAGCAGACTGTGAAATGCAAAGCCTGTGGGACTGCTGGGGCTGAGTCTTGACAAGCCTTGTCCATGGTGGTCCTTTGAACTTGTACCAACAGTTCCTGAAGTGTATGTGGATTTACCCCTGTGCTTGATCTCAGGGTTGGGACTCTGAGTATCCTCTGTTGATCTGAGTGGTGTTTGCATGTGCACATCGTCTGGAGGACGTTGCATTGGGTGTAAACAGAGTACCAGGCCGGCTTGCCATGTCATAATAAAAATGTTTTCTGAAATAGAAGTGGATTTTCCTGGTTCCATAGTTCTGTCCATTGTTGCTTTCTCTTGTTATTCCTGTAGTTCGATGAGTGTAAGATTTTTACTGTGTGGTACTTTGCTTAGTAAACAGGAATGAGAGATGGCAGCACCTGTGCTGCTCCTAGTATTCTCCATTAGATTTTGGAGTTGTTCCATGTTTTCTGTACTGTGTTGTGCTGTACCAGAAGTTGCTGGTAGTAACTCAGTCTTCTGGGACCTGCCATTGCAGAGGTGGTCATTGCACACTTAATCTTGTTGAAGGCCATTGCTTTACTAAACTCTGGCCACATGTTCTTTGAACCTGAGAAGGTGAATATCCTCTCTCTCTCTCTCTCTCTCTCTCTCTCTCTCTCTCTCTCTCTCTCTCTCATTTACTTTCTAAATAAACTTCCAATTAAAAAAAAAATCTTGTTAAATAGGTTGGGTTTATGACTGAGATGGGGGAATACACATTTAGGCATCTGTCTAGTCACTTGGTCACAGAAGAGGCATTTTGATGACTTCTCATAGGACTTAAACCTCAACCTGCTTCCTAAACTGGCACTCTTTTTTTTTTGAGTTGGAGTCTCACTCTGTTACCCAGACTGGAGTGCAGTGGTGGCTTCCGGCCACCGCAGCCTCGACCTGCTAGGCACCGGCTATCCTTCCTGCCTCAGCCTTCCAAGTAGCTGGAACTACAGGCATGCGCTACCACGCCTGGCTCATTTTTTATTTATTGTAGAGATGAGGTCTTGCCAAGTTGCCCAGGCGGGTCTTGAACCCGCGGGCGCAGGCAATCTACTCACCTCAGCCTCCCAAAGGTGTGGGATTACAGGCTGAGCCACCAAGCCCGGCTAAACTGGCACTCTTAAAACTGAGCACCCCTACACCCATCTTCATTGCCTAGCTTGGCTTCTTTACACTCTCTGGTTCCTTTTGCTGTTTGTTTTGATAATTCATATCCCAGAAGATTGCTCAGCTTTTTACAGATGTCAGCAGAAGTCTTTGGGAGAAGAAAAGACATATCTTTGTTATGGAAACTGAACTGTGAGCCACTGAGGGTAACTGTGGAACACAAGGAAGGGCCAGTGACCAGGCTGAATTTCTGACCATGTGCACCTATGTGCATTCATCTTCACAGCATCTCCTAAGCTTCTTGTTCCATGATTTGGGAGCTCTGTAGTGTACTAAACCTATCCTCAGCTTTGGTGTTTGCCAAGTGCCCTCATACACCTTGTTAAGTGTGGATTCTCTTCCTTGGCTTTACAGATGAGGGCCTAAGGTCACACAGTGACTAAGCGCTAGACCTGGACCAGAAGTGTTCTTTGGGACAGCACACTCCCCCAGATGATTTTTCCTTGGTAGTAGAACTCTGTCTTGGGTATCTCTTTCCATTAGTAGGTCGCCTCCTCATCTCTTCTGTATCCTCTCATCTAAAAATAGAATAGGTACAAGTATAATGCTGTGCAGAATACTACCATTTAATAATAATGTTAAATCATACCTATAGGCCGGGCTCGGTGGCTCAGCCTGTAATCCCAGCACTTTGGGAGGCTGAGGTGAGTGGAGTGCCTGAGCCCAGGTTCAAGACCTGCCTGGGCAACTTAGCGAGACCTCATCTCCACTGTAAATCAAAAATAGCCGGGTGTGGTAGCGTGCGCCTGTAGTTCCAGCTACTTGGAAGGCTGAGGTGGAAGGATCGCCGGAGCTTAGCAGGTCGAGGCTGCGGTGGCCGGGAGCAGCCATTGCACTCCAGTCTGGGTGACAGAGTGAGACTCCAACTCAAAAAAAAAAAAGAAAATCATACCTATAGCTGAAATAAAGGAGATGTGATACACAATTCACTTTCAGCTATTTTCCAAATCTCATTAGATTGAAATGCAAAACATTCTTCTCTTTTGGTTGTTCTTAACCCTGGTTGCATGTGTGAAACACTTGAGGAGCTCTAAGATAGAAAAACACTGCCAGACTTGGCCAGGCCAGTGGTTCACACCTGTAATCCCAGCACTTTGGGGGGCTGAGGCAGGAGGATTGCTTGAACCCAGGAGTTCAAGACCAGCCTAGGCAATATAGGGAGACCTTGTTTCTACAAAAAAAAGATTTTTTTAAATTAACCAGATGTGGTGGCACGTGCCTGTAGTCCTAGCTACTCAGGAGGCAGGCTGAGGCAGAAGGATCACCTCAGCCCAGGAGGTCAAGACTACCATGAGCTGTGATCATGCCACTGCACTCCAGCCTGGGTGACAGAGTGAGACCCTGATTTGAAAAAAAAATAAGAAGAAACGTCAGTACCAGTTAATAATGTGGATTTCACAGTCTATATCTTTCACTTCTATTTTCTGCTTTTACGATCTTATTCTAAGTACTGTGGACCCTGATCTGTCAGGTGGAGTCTGAAAATGTTTCTCCCCTCATTTTAGGGATGGACGTGTCTTGGGTGTGTTGGAGGTGTCCCGCTCCATCGGGGATGGGCAGTATAAGCGCTGCGGAGTCACTTCTGTGCCTGACATCAGACGCTGCCAGCTGACCCCCAATGACAGGTAAAAGAACCTTGCCAAAGGCACAAGTGTACATACACATGGCTTTATTTCTCCTCCTTAGTTCTTCCAATTTGTATCAAACCTTTGTTGGAGGGAAAGTGTATATGTGGTTGAAGGGACGTAGTAGTATCTTAGATACTTTGCTAGGCCCTAGAGGTTACAGATAAACAGAATGAGGATTCTGCTCTAGTGGGGTCCGCAGTGATGGGGAGCACACATGGTATGGACAGTTGCAGTCCACTGCGTCATAGGAGTATAGAGTGCTCTGGGAGGCTTTAGCAGTTGGGGAAGGGGTATCTTTGTTGGAGAAAGGAGAAGGGCTTTCCTGGCAGGGAAACACTAAGGCATTAAAAATGTGACATTGTGAAAGCATGGCCAGGCAGGTGCTTGGAAGACAGGAAGAGGTGGGAAATTGATGACAGGGTACTTTGGGAGCAGATTGTGAAAGGCCCTCAATTTCATGCCAAGGAGATTGAATTTTAGTTCATAATTGGTAGAGAATCATGAGGGTTTTAAAACAGCCAAGGTAGGTAGACAAAGAGACTGAGCATTTAGTAGTTCATCTTTCATTTCGCATGCCTGATGGTAAGGCACCTTGGCTCGCCAAGGGGAAGTCCTCAATGATTCATTGTTAATAATGGTATTACGGAGCCAAGAGGCCTAATAGGAACTGAAGCAGTAGTCCTGGTGTGATGGTGAGGGCTGAACTAAGGCAGTAGTAGGAAGAAGATTGAGAAAAGCAAAGTTCAGGAAAACAGGATTCACAGGACTAGTTGATAAAGGAAGTGAGAGAGATTGGTCGGTGATACTGCAGCCAGGGGTAGTCCTTCAAGGCGTAGCTCTGAGTCCTGTCATCAGTGCTGTGAGTGAAGAGCACATGCCTTTTTGGCATTGGCTTGCTTGGCCTTTTCTCAAATTGTTCCCCCATTCTACACACCTGCATTCAGTGTGCTATGTTCTCACCTTCCCTTGGGTCTTCAGACATGTTTCCAGCAGCTCCTTTGGGTTTCTAAACAATGCTTCAGGAAAGTCTCATCTGCCCCCAGACTAGACCTGGGCCCCATCTGCCCAGTGCTCTCTGCTTTCATAGTGTCCTTCCTCAGTTGTAATCACAGGTCTGTGTGATTAGTTTTTCAGGGTCTGACTCTCAAGACACCAGAAGGGGTCTTAGATTAGTCCTCACTGCATTCTTAGCCCAGACAATGTGCTCAGTAATTGTTGGTTGAATGAATGCCCAGTCAAAAGAGAAGAGTGTAGATTTGTGGTATTACATGAGAAATGAAGGGTGGTGGCCAGGTTCGGTGGCTCAGCCTGTAATCCCAGCACTTTGGGAGGGCGAGGTGAGTGGATTGCCTGAGCCCGTGGGTTCGAGACCTGCCTGGGCAACTTGGTGAGACCTCCTCTCTACAATAAATCAAAAATTAGCCAGGTGTGGTAGCGCGCGCCTGTAGTTCCAGCTACTTGGAAGGCTGAGGCGGAAGGATCGCCAGAGCCCAGCAGGTCGAGGCTGTGGTGGCCAGGAGCGGCCACTGCATTCCAGTCTAGGTGACAGAGTGAGACTCCAACTTAAAAAAAATTAAAAATAAAAAAAATAGAAACTGTGGGGAAACATCCCTCACCTCTACCCCCTGCTACCAGGAGAACCAGAACTGTCATGTCTGTTGATGTTCAGAAATATGTTGGTAGGCAGTTTGAGGAGGAGGTTGATTCTGAAAGGGAGAGCATGTCATTTTCAAACAAGAGGAAGTGGACCATTATCTCTTCCTGGGTCTTGGACCTGTACACAGCCCCCAGGTGTGCAATATGCGCTCAAGTACATTTCACTGAGGTCACACTTCATCTCAGCTTTATGTCTGTGGGAAAATGTGCAAGGCATGTGGTGATATAAGTTCAGTGTATATTTACCATAACACCCAGTATTTTTATTCAGTATTTTTCAATAAGTTTGTCCAAGAATGTGCAGCACCTAATGTTTAAGGTAGTTCATATTACTTATAATTAGTGAAGAGAAGGGTAGTCTCAATTTGATATGTAACATCCTACCTACAAATATTTTTAAGTAGTTTAAACCTTTGTTTCATAGAAGTTTTATATAATTTTTAGCCTCTGGACAGCTGGACAAGTATTTATATTACCTCCATGTCCAGGCCATTTTATTTTTAGAAGTTTGCTGCTAAAACCCATTTATATTTTTTCCTGGTATTGTAGGTTCATTTTGCTGGCCTGTGATGGGCTTTTCAAAGTCTTTACACCAGAAGAAGCCGTGAACTTCATCTTATCCTGCCTCGAGGTGAGAAATCTCACAAGGGCATGCTGGTTGTTCCAACTGCACATTAGTTTTTAGAGAAGTAGAAGTCCGAGATTCCATGTACCCCTGTTGTGGGGACAGTCTTGCTCTTTTTTAGTGTGAATGCTGCCCACTGACTCACTGGTCAGTTTGTCCAGCCTTGTTGGAGACCGGGGCAGTTCCTCCTGGCAATAGTGTCTCAGGAGAGTGCTAAAGTACAGGACTACTCTGTTCATTTGTGCCTCTTTGTTGTGTGGTAGGATGAGAAGATCCAGTCCCGGGAAGGGAAGCCTGCTGTTGATGCCCGCTACGAAGCAGCCTGCAACAGGCTGGCCAACAAGGCAGTGCAACGGGGCTCAGCCGACAATGTCACCGTGATGGTGGTGCGGATAGGGCACTGAGGAACAGTGCGCCGCCAGGAGCACGCATGGTATTGACTTAAGAGGTTCATTTTGTGTGTGTGCACATTCTGTGTGTTTTGTGTACTCCTGTGGGATTCCCATGGTTGTAAATAAAGGTTTCTTTTTTTTTTTTTTTCCTAGTCTTGAGTACTCTTATTACACTGGGAACCCTTTTGAGGTTGTGTTTGCTTTTGAATGTGCTCTGGAGTTTCCTTGTTAAAACCATGATAGTCATCTTGGCCTGGCTTGTAATGACCTGCAAGCTGCTGGTTGTAGAACATTTTGTGGTTCACAGGCATCTTACTATGCTTTTCGCCTCATGATGATCCTTGTTGGGAAAGTAGCATTTTGCAGTGAGGAGATTGATTCATCTTTAACCAGTCATGGTTAAAGACAAGGCTAGGACCAGACCAGGGTTTTTGGAACCCTCTGGTTCCTTTCAGTTTTCCATAGAAAAATAGTGTTGCCAAACATTACATAGTACAAGCCCAGGCTTAGCTAGGAAATAGACCAGTATATGAGGTTACTCGTGTAGAGTCATGTGCCCATCAGACCCTGCAGAAACAATACAGAATTTGCCCTTCTGTTTCCATTGGTAATAGGTGCGATCCAGTGGAAGGACTGGGTTTAATGGGTCTCAAGTGTGTATCCCTGGGCTCAAACATGCATCTTTTTGGTCTGAGCAAACAGGTTGCTCCACTGCATGGCCTCTGAAAATTCAGCTTCCTGTCTGAGGAATGTGTGAGCCATTGGCTCCATGCTGGACTGAGGTGGATCTTTTACAATAACACCTCAAAGGGGGACCATTCTGTGAAAGATGCTAAAAGGATAAAAATCATGCACACTTAGCCTACTTAGAAGAGCAAAGTTTAAAATACTTTTCAAGCACTTATTAATACAGAAGGCATGTCATTATTATGACAGTAGTTCGTTTTTAGTAGGGTAGCTCTTAGATCCTTTTGTGTATATGTTTAGCTTGGGATGATGTAAGATTCTAAAAGTTTGCCTTTTCAGAGTCAGTTTTGTCATGTTCACTGGGCCCCACCCAGCAAACACGGTCTTATCACCTAGACATTCTGTGAGTGGAATTTAGTGTTCATGCTACTAAGGATCTCAGTGGTGAACATTTCTTGCCAACCTTAGAATTGATTCTGGGGTCTGTTGTATGTAGGCCATAAATGAAAACTGAACAAGGAAGTGTTGGTGCTGTCACCCTTCTCCAGGTACCATTTCTGCTTCAGAACTGGAACATCATAGAGTGGCATCATTGAAGAAAAGACTCTCAGCACCTCAGAATCAGGAAATATAACAATTTATTTGGTAAATGTCTACCTACAGCAAACCAGAAGTCAGTCTGCACATTGAAGTCTGTGACTCACGCATCCCTAAGTGCCACTGTGCCTGATCTAGGAGAGGCTTGGCACTGAGGCTTTCTTGGCAAAACCCTCCCCACAACCCTCGGAATATCCCTTCCACCTAGAGGCTGGAGGCCATCACTCCACCTCACCTTCCAGAGTTCACTCCTCACTATCCTTAGAGAACCTAGGCTAAAGGATTAAGACTCCATATCTTAAGGACTGTCCTTTGTTTTTATAACTCTGTTGAACAGTTTTTGAGTACTTGAACCACCCCATTAAAGTCAGTTATATAAATATATCCCACCTGGCAGTATTATACAATAAATACTTCAATAAATTGCCATATAACATACTTAACATTGAGAAAATGAAAAAGATGTGGATATGTGGCTTTTTCAAGGGTAAAAGATAAGTTATTTAAAATATCTGTGCCCACTGGATACAAAGTGAAATCCAGAAAAGGGTGTAGCCATGCCACCCCCTTATCAAAGTATGCGAGACACAGCACCCAGACCAGCCCAGTACTTCCTGGTAGGGTGGGTACGAGTCCTACTGAGAATCAAGCCAGGCCTGCCTGAGGCAGAATGGTTGGTTTATGTGTATTGTGCTTGAGGGGAGCTGTTTAATTCTGGAGTGGGAGGGTTGGAAGTTGTGTTCCTATGGATCATTAGGGCCTGGCTGTGGTCACCTCATCCAGAGGCCAGCCAGAAGGTTAAGGTGACTGGTCATTGCTCCCTTTTTCTCCCAGGCCTAAGCATCTTTGCCAGATCAGCATGGTCCCCAGGAGGTCCTACGACACCAGCTCTACTGTAGCTTGGAGTAGGGGGGTTAACTCTTCCCTGGTGTGGAGTAGGTAGCCCTAGAGGTAGCTGCTAGGGCCTTTTCGTCTTCACTACCTACTCTGGATCAGTCCTGCGCTTAGGAAAAAAAAATTTTTTTTAATTTTTAAAATTTTTTTGTAGAGATGGAGCCTCTCTATGTTGCCTAAGCTGGTTTTGAACTCCTGGCCTTGAGCAATCCTCCTACCTCAGCCTCCCAAAATGTTAGGATTACAGGTGTTAGCCACTGTACTCAGCCCTGAGAGACCATATTTAAGAAAGCTGACAGTTCTGTGTCTCCTCATGGGGACTGCCCTCCCCACCCCCATGTCTCATCACTGCCACATGAACACTGTGGCCTTAGGACCAGTCTTCCCAAGGCCATTCTTAGCACAAGCTCTCCTTCACCACCTGTTCAAACTCAGCCATATTGCCATCCGAGTGGGAAAGATGCTTCAAAGGCTCATTCCAGAGCCGGCTGCGCCTAGCCAGACCACACCACCAATGCAGCAGGAGCTGTCAGCTTGGGGGAAGCCTCTGCTTTTGCTGTTCAGATGATGGGTCAACAGGCTGTCTCTAATCTGCAGGCATTCTAGATCCTTCATCTGGTGGGTGAGTCCTAGCAGTGAGTCAGAGCCTTAGGGGATGGATTTGCAGAGGAGGGGAAGAGGGCCATTTCGAAAGGCCCTCTACGAGGTGAGCTGGTGAACTTGTGTACAGTAGAAGTAGAAACAGCTCCTGGAAGTCAGGCCTAGACTCACTATTCCTCCATAATCCCCTGTTCGGTGTCCCTCTGGTCCCTGAGGCTGCTGTGCCAAGGCCCCATAGCAAGAGTCTCAGCTTCTGTGGTCTCTGGGCCAAGCAGTGCCCTGAGTTCCAACTGTGGCAGGTGGGAGCATGGTTACGGGAGGGGCAAGCAGGACCAAGGAGCTCGCATGAAGAGTGGTGGGCAAGGCTGTTGCCTAAGCCCTTCTAAGCAGTGAGGACATGCAGATTGCTTCCCTGTCAGGGGCCCTCAGCCCTGTGCTGGCTGACCATCCTCTAGACGGCCCCTAGCATGTGCTGCCTGCAGTCCTTGAGAACATGAGCAAAGATGGACAAGGTGGGCTTGGGCCACAGGGAAGACTTTAAGGCCATCTGGACAAGGAGAGGGCTGGGTCTGCAACTGGGGACAAAGCAGGCACCCCTGGGCACTCCAGCTATCTCCTAGATAACAGCCCAAGACAACTTTTTAACTCTTAAAAGGGCATCCTGAAATTACTCCCGGTTCTGGGACCACTGGCTTGTGCACCATCTCTGCAGGTTGGCCTGTAGTGGCTGTCTGGGCTGACCTGCAGTGGCCATTGTGGGCAGAGTTCCAGGTGAGATTCCTGCGTGTGGCCGTTGTCACTCCGACACTGCCTAGACACTGGTCAGACCCCTGCTCCATTTGCCCAGTGAGAGGAAGGGCCTGTGGTGGCTTCTCACACACCCAGGAGGACAGCACTGAAGTGGGAGCCGCTGCGTGCCGTGAGAGAGGAGCCACTGGCGTTGTCCAAGAAGACAGAGGTATACTGCCCCATCTGCAGGAAAGGGCACGTGTCAGACTTCACACTGGCCCCCATACCAGCAGATCCTGACAGCCTGGAGAGGCACCCTGGGGCTAGCCAGCTACACTCCCTTCTGCCCACCCTGCCCCAGGCCCAGAGAAGGATGTGGCCTGCCCAAAGTCGCAGAGCAAGGGTTCAGTAGGTCTTGCACTCAATCCAGCACCTCTCACCCCAGTGCTTTCTCCCCAGCACTCTACGGCTTATGTGTGGGAGGGAGCCCCGGCTCAACCAGAAAATGCTTTAAGAGTCCAACTGGCTTCTTGGCTGCAAGGATTCTCTTGGAACCCATAAGGGCTCCAAGACAGGTGGGAGGCAACCCTTCCTCCACAGGCCTGGCCCTGCAGTCTTTTGATAGAGCCATCTGTGGATACTGGCCTGTCTGCTCTACATGTGATCCATGCACCAGCATCACACTTCCCAGGAACTCCCAGAAATGCAGAATCTAGGGACCCACTGCAACCTGCATCTTATCAGGATCCAGGTGGCACACGGACCACTTGAGTTCACTAAGCAACCTGTGTGGCACCCCTAAGTGCCTTTCAGTAACCACAGAGCCACCTCCAGCCAGACAGCTTGGCCTCCAGCCCTGGCTCAGCTGTGTAAGCTGGGGCAAATCGGGAAGAATAGCACTGCTTTCCCCAAAGCACTGGCAGAATTAAACAGCAACTGTTACTCCACACACCTGCACTTAAATTTTTGTTTTAGTAAACCCACCTTTATATCAGTTTCTCTGCCACTTGCCTAACCCCACAGTGCCAGAAAGAGATGGTCATTTGGGGAAGCCCAGGTATCCTAACAACCTGGGGCAGAAAACTGACCTCCATTCCCTCTCTCCACCAGGTCCCTGCAGTGGGCATATGGCAGCTGCGAGTTTCCAGCCTCAAAATGACATGCCTGGGAAGTCTGAAAACTGGAGACTGCAGAGCAGAGTAGCAGCTCCAGCTCAAGAGGATAGATGTCCCTGGGCGAAGAGCTGGATTTGGAGAAGGATGATCTGGACTTGAAGCCTGGCACTGCCTAGACCAAGTCAAGTGCTTGAGTGTGTCTTAGAACCTCTCCCAGGCCTGGAGTCTGAAGGTACTCCAGTGATCCTGAGCACCTGCCAGGACCCTTCTATGCCCAGCAGTGCCCCTCCACACCCAAGCCTGCCCCACACACCTGCAGATACAGGACACCATTCACTGAGATGGTGAAGAGCTCGCCGCTGCTCTCTAGCCCCATGACGGCCTCCAGGGAGCTGTGGCCAAGACAGATAAAGGGTCAGCCTGTCCTCCAAGACCCCAGCGGCTTCCCCCACAATGCATCACCATCATCCTAGCAGCCAACACCATGCCCAGCAAAGTGCCTAGTCCTAGTCAGGTCTTCTGGTAGAGAAGGTGTCTCAATCGGGTCCCCAAGAGGAGGAAAGACACAGCTGAGGCCACACTTAAGGTACCAGGGAAGGCAAGATCAGAGCCAAACAAGGGGCAGCAGAGTCCTGGCTTTGACAGGAAAGAGGACATTGGCTGGTAAAGATGGAGGTAGAGGTATAGCAGCAGGTGGCTAGTTCAGGCCAATGTGTCCCAGGTGTTAAGCCAGACTAAGACGTTTTGGACTTCATTCATTCATGTCTTCTCCAAGTATATGCAGAGCACCTGCTCTGTGCATGGGCTCCCGTAGGGTAAAGTGAAAACAAAGACAGCTGATAGTGACTGTCCTCATGGACCAGATGGTGCAGGCAGGTGGGGACACCAGCACAAGTAACTGACATCATCATAGGGAAGAAAGTTCACAGGGAGGGTTAGGAGAATGACTGAAGAGGGGGCTTCCAGACTGCACCCAGGAGGCACCTCTTGGGAAAGTCACTGGTGTCTCAGGCCCCTGAACGAGAGAGACAGAAAGAAGGAGGTTGAAAGGAGCCAGGCCTCGGTATGTCCTGGGAAAGAGTTGGAGAATTTGGGCAGGGAGTGTAGCTGATGATATGAACGGCCCTGGCTGCTGTAAAGGGAAGGCCTGATGCGGACGGAAGTACGAAGGGGAGACAGGGAAGGAGGTATTGGGGCCACCCAGGTCACGGTGGCAGTAAGGATGAGCAGGATGTGGGAACCGCGAGCTGGGGAGGCCGAGCTGGTGCCTGGCCTTGCAGTCTTTTGATAGAGCCTCCTGGACACTGGCCTGGCTGCTCTACGTGTGGTCCATGCACCAGCATCATACCCCCTAGGAACTCCCAGAAATGCAGAATCCAGAATCCCCAGAAATGTGGGATCCGGGACCGGGCAGGCCCACTCACGTGTTGCGCTGGCACTGGGACTGGATGCAGATGAGCAGGCGCAGGCGGTCCCGAGGGCGCAGCGGCCCCCGC